TCCCAGTAGAACAGCTGCTTAGTATTTCGGAAGACCTTTACATTCTTCACTGACTCGCGTTGCCGAGTCCCCCCTTGAACAAGGCAGATTGCCAAGGCCTAATTAAAACAGACTTGGTTGGGTTTGGGCTAGAGATAGATAATTCAAGATAACTCAGTTAAAACTAGTGAAAACTAGAATTTTAAAAGAAAATAACAGTTTTGAAATTTTACTCTGCCTGGCCAAAGTTGATTTGTAATGAATTATGTTGTTCTGTATTTATATTGTTTTCATCTCTAATGATCTGAATGAATTATGCAAATTAGTCTATAATAATGTCGCTATAAGCCTGTAGGGCACACTTTCTAGGGAGGTGAATGAATGAGGAGGTAGAAACCACAAGTATAGGAAATGGCTCTTCCTATTTAATTATATTTCCATGGAAAATTCTATTGCATTTCTATTCATATGAAACTCATTACGGTGATTAAGAAACATCACATCAGCACATTTAAGTGCAGCAATTGCCCTATTCAGTAAGTTCCCATTACCGCAGTAGGGAAATTGGCAGGCTACAATTTTTTTTTTTTTAAAAGTCTCACTCTCAGGGTTGCAGTGCAACTGTTGAAAAATAAAAGCATTGTTGGGGCTTCTGGTATTTGGAAAGAAGATCTAAAGATGACTTGAGGCTGTCAAATCAGAAGCAGCAGGAAAATCAGGAAGACAGCCTCGCACAGACTAACCAAGTTGTTGAAGAGTCTAGGACAGGCCCCAGGATCATTCAGTGACAAAAGGTGTTGGCTGCCAAGTCTGACGACCTGAGTTCAATCTTTTGGTGGAGGAATTGACTCCTGCAAGTGTCCTCTGACCTCCACACGAATGCTTTACACACACACACACTTTAAAGATTATTTGGTATTTTCATTTAAAATAGTTTTATTATCAGTACCATCCTACTCTATTTTCATTAAAAGATTCTATTTGAAGTAAAAAAAAAAAAAATACCTCCATAAATTACAAATGAAGAGAATACTGCTAAGAAATGAAAGAAAAGAGAAAGTGTTCTCCAGCTAAAATCCCTGACTGGGAAATTTCTCTCAACATTCCTCAGTGGAGTCAGATATGAGATATGAAATCATGTTCTACATTTCCTTAAAATCTCATTACTTACTCTTCAGAGACAGAGATTTTAACAACTTTAGGAGTCAAATCTACCTGTAAAATAGCGCTTGTGAGCCTCTTGGGGGAAGGTTCTACAGACAGGCAGTCTGGGGTCACTGTCAGCAGTCTGCACTGGCTTGGGTGGGTCTGGGTCTGTAGCCCCTGTGAAGCAGGCTGCACACCATGCAAGCTCCATCGGGTCAAATGTACAGGCCAAGTGTCCTACCAGTGAGCACCCGGCATCAGTGCTTTGAATTTTGTGTATGGTATGTGCTTATGTACAACTGGATGTGTGTGTTGGGAGTGCATGTACCTCTGTATTACACATATAAAACCAGAGGTTGTCTGGTGTCCTCTATCATTCCTGGCCTTATTCCATTGAGAAGGGGTATGCCATTGAAGCTACCATTTCTGGCCAGGTTGGTGACCTAAAAAACCCACAAATGCTCCCAAATGCTACAGTCCTGTCCCAGCACTCCACCCCTTTGTACACCAGACTGGCCTGGAACTGAGATCCACCTGCCTCTGCCTCCCAAGAGCCGGGAGCAAAGGTGTATGCCACCACTTCCTGGTACAAAAATTTAATATTAGCATTTTTCATGGTCATTTCCATCCATCGTTTTCTCCTACCAGTTCCCATACTTCCACATGCACAAAGATGTGAGAATAGCCAGCATTATTTCCTAAACAGTATTGAACATGTGACAGGTAGTACTTGGCATGTCCTTTAGTATTTTATCTCATCTATTCTTCAGAAAAAAATGTATTACTATATTGCTACATCATAGAGTTGAGCATGAGGCTACAGGAATCAGCAACATCACATATCTCACGCACGAGACTCGAACCAGAGGTTATCCTGCCTCTTTAAGGGGTCCATCTCCATTCTACAGTCCACAAAGTACACGTGTAAAGAAGCACGGTCATGATTACTCACCTGCTGAGTTATCCTAAAAGGCAGGTAGATCATCTCCTGGAGAAAAAGATGGGGCCATGATCAAGAACGGGGAGATGGTGTGTGTGTGTATGTGTATGTGTGTGTGCGCGCACGTGTGTGGTGGTGGTGGTGGTGCTGGAAAAGTTTTACCTTTGGGCCTCATTGTTGATGTTAGTAGATATCACAGATGGATGACTTCTTACAAGTTAAGATTAATCCCTGCCCAGCAGTGTTCAGCAAAAATAAGGTTTAAGAGTGTCCAAGAACAGAAGAATCTGGGCTGAGAGCTTTATAAGAGTAACCAGAAGGAAGCAAGAGTCAAGGGACCAGGCAACTAGTGAAGAGGCACCTCTCATGGGCCAGGGGTGGGTTTCTTCCCATGCCCAGCGGCTTCAACTTCAGCACACTCATTAATGATCCAGGTATTTTATGATCTGGGTCTTGTGAGCCAGATACATCTTTGAGTTTTTCATTTCAAGTTTTCATTTTTATTTATTCAAGGCAGTGTATAGTTACGAATTCTCCAGTTGCTTTAGGACTTAGCTGTTTTGCTGTCGAGACTCTCCCACAGTGATTAACTTCTTGACCTGGTTACCTCCACCAAGTTACCCCAAGCACAAAGTCACAGGCATCAGGGACATGGGCTTGTGAAGAGTGATGCTTTGGTCTGTTTGGCAGGGTGGTGGCAAGATAAGCCTGCTGACAGCCCTAAACTTACGGCATTTTGTAAGAACTTATCAACAGACGTTGTTGTATGGGGACACTGTCATGGGTTTACTCAAAACTCTTGTTCCTGAAGGGAGGACACATCAACTACCCTGCCTCAAGCTCTGCATGACTGTGGGCTAGGGCATGCAGAAGCAACCATGGTAAGCATTACACAGGTAATTCCTAGTAAGAGGGTATCTACATATGGGACAGAAGTATAAAGCAGATGATGCAGGAAGTCATGGAAACTCCTGCTCAAAGAGTTCAAGAATGCTATCAGAAGTTGGACATTACCTACATGGAAGATGACCTACCAAACATCATTGCAGGGGGTATTCACTGTCCACACCTAGGCATGTTTTTGCTGCTGTCTGACCTAAGCATCACTGGCAAGGAAAAAATAATCACAATTTAAAATTGAGCACAAGACTCTCTGGAATCAACTGTAAAACTGGGGATTCCCTTTTTAATCTTTTTTGAAGCATTGACAACATGGTCCAGATGGCTATTAATCTCCCCATCCTGTCCTAGCTTCCAAGGGCTGGAATTTGTGGTCTATGACATCATGGCAGGCAGGTTTTCTACTGGCCAACCAGGCTTATATACTGCTAAGAAAAAAAATGGTTCTACACAACATATTAAATTATTATTAAAAATATTACACTAATCCATTCTCCTAGCACTATTTTTATTTGCAGTGAGATTATGTGAAAGCTGGAATCCCACCTTCCCTTCCCAGGTGTGTGGACACAGTAGTTTAAATACTCTCATGGTTAGAATTACATGTGTAAACTTAAGGCAGTATAGGGTTAAGCAGACAAATGATTGCAATTACACTTTAATGTTCACTCTCAGTCAAGCACATTTAATAATTTATGAGCCAAAATCTGTACTCACTATTTATTACTACAAAAAAATGAATTTAAAAATGCTATGGCCAGCAGTACGTATGTGTCTGTGAACTGGGAATTAAAGAGTTCCTCAGAGGCTGAGATTACCATTTAGTGATAGAATGCTTGCTTAGCATGAAGGCCCTGGGTTCTGACCCCTAGTATGGCAACTGTACATCAACAAAGTTCCTTGGGACAGATAAGACCCAGATGGCTCTCAAGAGGTGACAGTCAAATGCTGGCAGAGAATGGAGCAGAAAAATCCATTTTCAGGGTGTCTCATTTGCAAGGCTGGCAGTTAGCATAAGCAAGATGGTTTATTTACTCCAGAGGGATCCCTGCCCGGTGACCTAACAGAAGCCACAGTATTTTAACGATTACTTAAGTCTGCCTCATTTCAATGGATTATTCCAAGAGCTGGGAAATCAGTCAGTATATAAATGACTCACAAAGGTGACCGTTTCTAAAAATTTCTGTGATGGGAGTGGTGATGTACCCTTTAATCCCAGTACTTAGAGGCAGAGGTAGGCAGATTTCAGATTTTGAGACCAGCCTGGTCTATAGACCAAGTTCCAGAGCAGCTAGAGCTAGAGAAAACTTGTCTCAAAAACCAAAATAACAACCACCAAAAACAAACAAACAAACAAACAAAAAAACCTTCTGAATTTTTTTATTTAGAGAAGGAGTGAAAAGAAGGCAGGGCTGAGGCTAACTGACCTGAGGTTACAGCTGACCACAGGCTTCCTCCATGTGAACACTAAGGACAGAACCACATAGACCCAGTTATGTCCTGCCTGACACAGGGAGGCACTGGCATCCCTATCCCGTACCCCCACATGCTCCCTAAAGCTCTAAGAACACTGGGTCTATTTGTAGGTACCAAACAAGCTACTCAACAGCTAATATAGGTTTTAAACAGTTCAGGAGGGAGGATCATGGCTGCTGAAATATGGATAACTTCACTCTTTAAGAAAGGAAGAGCAATTATCAGCATCTTCCAGATGTTGCTAAGGATCCAGTTCCCAGGGGATAACTGGCTGTTTGTCAAGGAGGCAAACAATCAAGCTTCTCAGAGGCATGATGAAAAGAGTCCTGCGGGGAGCAAACCCCAGTGGGGATGTGTCCACAAGGCAGCTTGGCTTCTCTGGCCAGCTTGCCCTTTTAGATGTCTTACAGGGACTGTCTCAAGCTGAGCGCCAAGAGGGAGAGATACTTTTAGGTTCTGTACACATAAACCTGTGTATGTGGTAACTTGGGCTAGAAGTCTATACCTTTCAGATAAGTAAGACCCAACTACCTAAAACCACAGACCCAATGGAAAGGACTCGTTTTTTAAAAGGGGTACTTTTAAAATTCCATACATGATTATTCACTGCACAGAAGCAAACTGGGAGATGATGGGAACTAAGATCAGTGGTGGAAGAGCCGGAGATCCGTGTGAGCCAAGACGATCCCCAGTTCATCACAGGCCTCGATCACAACCTTGTCTGCAGCGGATCCAGAGGGAGCGACAATGTAGGCCACACCACTCTGCAAAGGAAAACCCCAAAACCAATGCTGACTTTCAAAACACAATGACACGCACATCAGGAAAAAACAAGATTTCCCTCTAAACCCAGGGGTAGAAGAGTTGGTTCAGTGGTTCACAGCACTAGCTACTCTCTTCCAAAACAAAACAAACAAAACAGGAGTCTGGTTCCTAGCACCCACATAGCAACTCACACCCATCTCTAACTCCAGGTCTGTGGCTTCTGAAACTTCCTTCTGGCCTCCTTGGGCACCAGCCAGGTACACACACATATAGGAGCAGTCAAGGCAACCCCAACTGTATATGATAATATTAATCATAAATAAAAATAAGTACATCTTTTTTAAAAAGCACAAGCTAACAACAACATATTCAGGCAAAGCAACAGATTTTGGGTTACGCCTATATCACAAAGAAAAATGAAATAATTCTCCATTTGCATCAAATCAACACAGCTTTGATATACAACTCTAAGTAACCTAAAAGTACAACTAACTTCTTTTTTGTGGTGCTGGTACTGGACCTGAGGTCAGGTGCTCTATGTTGCATCCTCAGCATCAAAGGCAGATGGACCTGAAATTGTTTCTAAAATTGTGTCCCCAATGCACAGGAACCCTCACTCACCCTTTTGGCTCGGTCCACGTTGTCCCTGAAGGGAAAGAAGGCATCAGAGCTGACCGAAACATCTCTCAGTTTGTCGACCCATTCCTTCTTCTCTGTCTCAGTGAGTAACTCGGGGACTTCCTCGAACAGTGCCTTCCACTTCACCAGGTCATCTCCCTAGGGAGCCAGGGAGCAAGATGAGCTCAGTATCAACTGTAGCTTTATCCAGTGGCAAGTACAATGCCAGAAACCACTTGGGCATTTTCCTATGACTGTTCACTAAACAACGACACACCCAGTTCCTACTTTCAGAGGCCCTTCGATGCTGAAGAAAATCTAAGGCCATTCTTAGATTACCAAAGAAATTATATCCTACTTTTGTAACTCAGTTTAACCCAGACCTACTGAGTTCTCAAATCTCTAAGTCTGTGTATACACCTTCGAATTCATGTCCAATCTAGGAAGCAGATGATAACTGATGCTTGTGTAGATGAACTACACATACACAACTGTCTCAGGTATAAATCAGCTTATAGGCAAATCAAAACAAATTCATGGTGCTTACTAACTACTGCTTCGATGTTTGTGTTACTTCTGAAGTTTACACCGAAATGTAATCCCCAATACAATGGGATTAAGAAGCAAGGCCATCAGCAGGCCACAGTGGAACACATCTGTAATCCCAGCACTGGGAGCTGAGTTCCAGTCAGCCTGCACTACATAGAAGACCTCATCTCATACAAACAAGACTTAAAAAAAAAAAAACAGTCATCATGAGGAGACCGTGCCTCGAGAACACTCTTGTTGAAAAACAGAAAAAGTACTAAAACCACACTGAGTTGCTAATGTCCTTTTAAGTATGGTAAGAAGAGAATCCCTGGTGACCAGCTAGCAGGTCGTTTACAGTTTAAGTCTAATACACACTACAAGACAGCAAGCTCCTGCTGACACCAGGAGATGGTGAAAAACAGTCCTCGAAATGACAATATTATAACCCGAGGGGGAAGTATGGGCCTACAAAATTAATACAATATTCATAACCCAGAAGCAGAGACTTGTGGTTTCAGAAAAGGTGGAACAGTAAAGGTGTCAGGGATTAGAAGACATTTTAACGCTTCCAGACAATCCAGGATTTCAAGAAAGTCTCTCTGTAGTAGTACCGTGAAAGTCTGTCCCTAACAATGAATGAATCAACACAGCCCACCTGGAAGACAACCAGCCCGTACCTCACCAATGGTGTCTGTCACATACTGATCAATGGCGTTGGAGATTTCTGCTCTCTTCACCCCGCTTTTAAACTTCATGGAGAGCACTCGTGGATGGTGTCGGAGCCACCACGAGTTTGCCTTATCACCTGCAAGGCGTGTGCAGTGTATCCGAGACTGCTGTCCTGCTCCGATGCCAATAACCTAGGAACGCAGACATTTCTTTTTAAAGGATGCCAGTAGTGAGACATCCATTTTGAGAGGGGCTTCGCTGGCTCCTTGCAGACCCTGCCCGGGGATCAGTGGCCACAACCTGTCAGGATTCAGTGACTAAAAAGAACCAAGAACCTTACTATGAAAATCCCAAAAGGCAGGAACTGGAGAGATGGCTTGGAAGAAACACTGGCTGCTCTTCCAGAGGACCTACCTGCACCCAGGGTTCATTTCCCTGCACCACGTGGCAGCTCACAATTGTTCCAGGGGACCCACCACCCTCACACAGACATACATACCGGCAAAGCACACTGGAAAGGCTACAAAAAACTAAATATAGGGCTAGTTTCATGTCAATGGAAGTATCAGCAAGAGGTAGCAGTGGTTGGGAAGGGGGTTGTGAGTGAAGAAACCAGTTCCACAAATCCAAAATGAACCAGCTCACTCTAAGCAAGAGTCAATGTAACCAACCAACTTAATACTTGGCTGCTTAGTTTGTTCTCATTAGTTTTACGTCTACCCAGGTGCTGAGTAAATACTGACAAACCAGGAAAAGAAACTTGGCCAGTCTTCTCTTTCAAGTGCCTGGGACCTGAGGCAGGTGGGCTTTTGAATACTGTAAAACAACAACGCAGTGAGGTGGGCTGACAGTGTGGTTACCTGTCCATCCTTGGCGTAGCACACGGAGTTGGACTGAGTGTACTTAACAGCGACAGTGGCTACAATGAGGTCTCTGAGGGCAGACTCCGGCAGCTGAAACATAGAGGATGCTTAAAGTCTCACCAAGCTTTTGAAATCTCATTAGCTTTAAGTTATGGGTACACCAGTGTGACAGGACCTGTGATGCAGTTAGGGCCCTCAATGACAGCCAGAGTCATGCTGCATGCTTTACTAAAGACTGAAACACCTTAGCCTATCTGTAACTAATGTAGTACACCGTCACCTTCAAACTAATGGCAACTGTTTGTTCAGCAACAAGACATGAAATACTGAGTTTATTTTAAAATGACTTGAACAGAATATCCTTAATAACTGAGGATGTAAGATTCAGGATCAGAAATACTGAAACTAAATTTCATACATTGTACACTACTGTGATGTACACACACCAATGATGTTTCTGGAAAAGTTAAATGGTGCCATTTTTTCACCTTGCTGAAAACATTTTAACAAGCTATTTAAAAATATTCTACAATTTCTAAGCCAACATTCAGCCACAAGTCTGTAAGAGCCCCAAATGACACTTCTTTGATACAAATTAGAAAAGAAGATAATAACCCATGTATGCATGCTTAGTAGATAAAGGGTATAGGCTAACCAAAGAGAAGATACATGATGCTTGCATCCCAGCAATTTGCACCAAGAGGCTGATGATGCAGGAGGAGCAGCCTAGACTACACAGCAAGAGGAAGAATGGAGTTATGCTGCTTATGGGAAAATAGATGCAACTGAGGATTGTAGTAATATTGTTTGTGCAATATCGAATAAAGCTTGCCTGAAGATCAGAGGGTGGAGCTAGCCACTAGTTAGCCAGAGGCCAGGCAGTGGTGGCACATACCTTTAATTCTAGCACTTGGGAGTGGAAGCAGGAAGATAAGGAGTTCAAGACCACACTGGGCTACATAAAACCTAACCAGTCTAAAAGAGAAACAGAGCTTACACGTTTGATCCCAGCACTAGGGAGTTGGAGACAAGAAGTGATATGGCTGGCCAGAGAGGGAACTAAGCGGGAGGAGACAGGAGCCCCCTACATTTTTTTCCCTCTGAGGAATTCGTAGAGCTAAGAACTCTACTGTCTGGCTGCTCTGCTTGCCTACTCTTTCAACATTTACCCCGATATCTGACTAAGGGTTTCTATTAAGACCAATTAGAATTCACACAACAGAGGATAATCATACTTGGTGAATAATTAAGTCAGTCTCAGGAACACAAATGGTCTGTTTATGGTCCTTAGATTTATTGATATTTAAATCCATTTTATTGCACTGTGTACAGTATGTGCAATATGAAAGAAAAATGATCTAGGAGAACAAAGGGTTAATTGGAGTGGGAGGACTAAAAGGGAAGAGTCTGTGTGTGTGGTGGGTGATATGGTCAACATACAATACATACTGTGCGAAATGTCCGTATGTTACACACTAATATATGTAATGAATACATGCAATGAAAATTAAAAAACAAAAAGGTAAGTTTGGCTTCATCCAAATTAAGCTTCACCTCTGTAAAAGAGGGATGGAATAGAGTATAGGAGAACATGACAATTGCATGTGAACCTACACTTTTCAAATCTCAAAACTGGAAGCTTTGTTTTAAAAGATTTTTAAAAGAACTTATTCTAACACATTCATCTTTTGTTTGAGCCAACAATTACAATCGGACTCCACAGAAACCTAGCTTCTTCAAAGTCACCTTCAAATGTAGCTCTGGCATTCCCTGTTAGATCAAAGGAAATGTGCATGGGAGTGGAGGGAAGCTCAGCCAGCTGAAGCACTATTCTGAAAAAGGGTAAGACTTGTCGGGTGTCCAGCGTCCCCTGCCCAGCAATCAAGACCAGCCCATTGTCAGGTCTCCTCTATCTTCCAGTCTTGCTACAATGACCTGCTGCTGCAGAGATCAGTCTCCTTCCAGAAGCAGGCCCACAGCTAATGTCAATGGGCACAGGTCCAGAGAAAAAGCTACAAGATCCAGCGAGAAAGCTACACACACCTCTCATCCATTTCCCTAGTTTGTAACTCTAGGCATACTTATCTATTCTCCGTCCCAATTCTGTAATTTTTAGAATACAGAGGACAGTCCTCTCCCATAATGTACAGGGACTGAATGGAATACTGCATGTAAGCAATTCTTCCTAGGTCATCATTGTCCTAAGAATAGACCTCTTCTACAGGGTGACAAAAAAACCGAACACAAAACTTGTTCATATTAAAAACAATTATCAAGCACCGAAAAAGGAAACGACCTAAATACCCATTACAGCACAGATCTCTATACTTGGATTGTCATGTGGCTTTTTACTGATGTGAAACAACATTCATCAGTACAGAAAAACATCTGTAACCTAATGCATGCAGCTGCAGATGACACAATCCCACTTAGGTATGACTGAACATACATTTCTATGCATGTACGTATAAAAGATAAGCTTTTAATCTATCAGGCTTACCTGACAACTCAAAGATGAGCTAGCTCCTTGCATATCTACCATTTACAAATATGAATCTTAATAAATGATATGCTTATTTACACTGAAGATAGACATGTTACTAGCATTTGGTTATTTTCAGACTTACATCTTTATTCTTGGTGACAATATTGCTAAATAATGACTTGTCAATGACTCCATTATTTCTCTTCTGGCTTAAACGAAGACCAAAGAGTGTTCGAACTTCATTTTCATCCGGTTTGTAGGACTGGTCCATCTAGGATACCAAATTTAAAAGTTATAAGCATTTTATATCTACTGTCCCAAATTTTCCATAAAAATGTTTCATTCTTCCTGGGCATGGTGGTATATGCCTATCCCAGTACCTGGGAAGATAGGGTAAGTGGATGACAGTTAAGAGACCAGCCTGGGTCACAGCAAGTTGCAGGCCAGCTTGAGCTACACAGCCAAACTATGTTTCAGATAAGTGAGCTAGCTCAAGGCTAGCCTGGGCTAGCCTTGGTGAAACTGTCTTGTGATGAGTAACAGAAAAAGGGCTGGAGAGGTTGCTCAGTGGTAGAGTTTCTGTCTAACATGTACAAGGTTCCCCTGCTCAATTCCCAGCACAGCAAAAATAAATGGGAAAAAACAAGAATTATGGCTTGCATCTGAAAACCAGTCCCAAATGAAGAGGGTCGCTCTGTGAATGTGAGAAACCACTTTTATCTAACTGCAAAGATGCAGAGTTTAAAAACACCATGGCCACAAGGACATTGGGTTGCAGTCCATTTTCTACAGGGGCAGCACAAAGTCTCCGATACATACAGCCTGTGACTCGGCTCTATTTCTCTTGGGAAAACCATATAAAGACATGAGATAACCTGCATGGATGTGAAGCAAGGTACACGAGTAAGAAATGAAAACACTGGGGGATGGATATGTTCTATTTCTGGAAGGACAAAGGAGAAATATAGAGTAGTCACTTTAAAAGAGTAACGCGGCAGAAGACAAGGCTGGAGGCTTTCTACCACATCTGAACAAGGCATGTAAATAAAACTTAGGGAAAAAATGAAGCAAAGAATCTTAGACCCCATAAACCGCCTGTATAAGACAGTAATAAGATTAAGAACACTGCGGGGCAGAGGCAGGTGTATATCGAGTTCTCAGCCAGCCAAGGCTGAGATCCTATTTCATAAACAAACAATACGAATAGGACTTGGATGCTGCTCTAAGTGTCTAATCCCAGCACTTGGAGAGCTTTTTTTTTTTTTGAGGCCATCATGAGCTACATAATACAAATACAACCCTATCTCAGAAAGAAAAAGGACAAGAGTTGAAACAAGCACACTAAAGAGGGACAAATCTGAAAGCGGTCTCCATAAGAGGTACACAGAGAAAAAGAACACAAAATAAAACTGAAGACTAAGTTACCACCTAATGTAGGAATTACTACTGACCTGAAGAACACAGTAGTTTCCATTTTTCTTTTTAGAAAGTATTTTCAAGGCTTCTTCTTCATATCCTGGGGCAACAATACCATCCGACACCTATAAAAAATATACATTAGATGAAATTCTTCCTTTTAGAAATCAGAGAATAACTCCATAAGATATAGCAACAATTAGCTGTTCTAAGTAATATACCAATACTATCAACAGAATGAATTGTTTATGGCTACCATATTTTCTGTGGTTAATCTTAGTCTTAACTGAGAACAAATGGATAATTCACTTCAATACATGAGCCTCAGGGAAGAAAAACTCATTGTTACACTAGTCTCTTCATGAAGTGGGCTTAAGATGTGCACTGGAGGAACCATGCTCCAGTCTGGCTCAAGAGGACACACAGCTAGCTGATGAGATCCTAGAGGTTTGTCACCTTGCAACTAGAGACACAGATGTCTCAGTGTCAGCATGACCTGTGAGTAGCATGCCTGCCCAGCATGGTTGGGTTGGCTCAAGGCTATAGGCTTCCCTAAAGTAACTAAACACTGTCATGCACAGGCACCCCCAGCTACCTCTTCTGGTTCTGCCTCCCAGCACTAATGGTGGGATGCAAACCTGGTGCTAAGTGATGAAGGTTAGTTCATCAAGTGCTTCTAAGAGCCTCTGCCCTGGCCCTAGTCATTCAGATCTCTAAGGGTTTATATAGCATTGTCCATTATTATTTCCTCATTGTGCAAGATGGCTCTGCCTTACAGAACATTGGAATTAAGACACACCCAGCAGCCGGGTGGTGATGGTGCACACCTTTAATCCCAGCACTAGGGAGGCATGGGCAGGTGGATCTCTCTGAGTTCCAGGCCAGCCTGGTCTATAGATGGCTAGGAATGTTATAGAGAAACCCTGTCTTGAACTCAGGAAAAACAAAAATTTAAGAGAATTAAACAAACAACCACTGTCAGCTAGTTCCAATGATGCCTAGAAACAAGTTATTCAGTTACATCAGGATCAAAATACCTGAACCTCTACTCACTTCTCTGGAGATAATTTTTGCAGTTGGGACATCACAAACATCAGATAATGCAATAAAATCACCAAATGAAGACATCCTGTCGGCCCCTGTAAGCGAAAGTTAAGCCATAAAGTCTCCTTGCATAGAAAATCCATGTGATCAAATCCAGTATTAATTCTCTGACCCCTTTCAGGTTTCATAAACATGTTGGGGTGTGGCATGCACTTCCCCAAACTCTACTGCTAGGATGTGGGCACACTATATATGTGATGTGGAAACAAAACAATATAGTTTCCCTAAAGCTTACGTTATTACTCAGAGTTAATATGTCAGTCAAACAACTGGTGAGAAGGTAGTCATTAATTTTACCTTCTAAATTAGCACTTAGCTGAAGGTCAGCATGAGCTACTGAAGGAGGCTAGAGGCCTGCATCCACACAGAGTGTGTATACAGAAGCAGGAGGATGGAGGCCTTAGCACCAGCCTACAAGTTGCTGCCTCTGGCTGTAACTGATAAACTGTAGCAGGTTTCTCAAAACACCTCAGGAGCTAGTTAGTCATTGCGCCCTAGAATCTGGTATTTCTTAGTGTGTAAAATGCAAGTCAAACCAAACTCAGTGGTTAGAGTAACCATACAATTCTTCTCCTACTAAAAATGTACTCAAGGACCTACTCTGAAATAAAATGTACCAATCTCATTGTTTCATTGTTTCCATTTACCACATTCAAATACTAACATGTACTTTTGTACATATACTCTTCTCAAGTATTAATTAAAATCCATCAAAGGCAATTTCAGTATCATGGCGTAAGCCACAGGTAACACTGTTTTATCCTGTTACTGCTTTTTCCTCTCACTGACAAAACCCCTCCTCTGACCTCTTGCTCTGGCATATGCAGTGGCCACTGGCGTGAGGGTCGGATAGAGGTCGTAGACCATGCACACCCTGGCCTCGTCTTCACTGAGTGGAATCCCGACAGCAGCACCTGGCAAAGGAAGCAGAAAACAGGGCTGGCAATGGCAGCAGGCAGGGACAGCACCGGCCGAGCACCCCCACCACCAGGGGGAGCACTAACTGGGCACCCCAGCCCTACCACGGGCACCCCAACTCTACCACGCAAACACTCAATTTTTTTTTAAAAAGCCATAAAATGACCTAAAGCCTCAAATTGCTACTTTTCAAATTTGACATCAAATTTTCTTTTCAAAGGTCTATCTTAGCGGTAAAATGTGCCCAAGGATGGGGGTTCAATTCCCAGCACCACAAAACAGACTCTAAGAAAACAAAACAAACTTTAAAAATCCACATTTCTCAAAGACCTAGCCTGTATTTTTCAAACACCTATGCAGTATATTTCCTAGTTCTTGTGGCAACTTAAACAAAAACTACTTGACGACGTAATGAACACGCACCGCATACTGCAGGGGGCAGGGGCACTTTCTCTTTGGCCTCTGACAGCACAGCCCCAAAGTCTGACAGCACTGGCATGTGCAGGAAGCTAGACCGCTGCGTTCCTGACTCCGCTCTGCTCAGGGTGACATTCATTTCTTCCTCACTCATCTCACTTTCCCACCCAATAACTATTAGGAACAATTACGTCCTAGAGACTGCCAGCAGACCTAGTGACATTATGGGTAAGCAAGCTGTGGAATTTAAGGACTTGAGGGTAGAAGGAATATATCATCCAATAGAAATGGAGTGGGCTGGGTTAAGAACAGTCTCTGTGCTTACTCAGGTACACTTCTGACACAGAAGAGCAGTTACTCGGCACATTACATGATGTCACTTCATCTTTAGGTCTACACTTTTAGAGACATCACAAGAGCCAAGAGAGCAATGTCTCTGTCTCCTAATGATACCATGGAATTATGTACACACTTATTATACTTACATGTAAGTATACCGACACTATTACCAACAGACTTGCCGAGAGTGGCCTACGATGTCCCAGATTATAACTTAGCAATAATGGGAGAAAATTGGAGAAAAGAACAAAACAAAACCAAAGGCGGAGCTCTCCAGGGCGTTCTGCTCTGGAGCAGTGAGAGCCTCACCTGCTGGGCTGACGTGTTTGAAAGATGCCGCAGCTGGGATGTCCACTGCTTCCCTGAGCTCCTTCACCAGCTGCCAGGCATTCAAAGCATCACACAAGTTTATGAATCCAGGGGCTCCATTGAGAACTACACACAGAAACATACATGTACATTACAAGAAGGTTCAATAAGGCTACATATATGTACATTACTCAAAAAAAAAATTATATCTAGGTCACACAACTTGCATGTGATTTCAGCCAAAAGGCTGAGAATTCAGAGTCTGCAAAAAGTAATCAAAGGCCGAGGGCGGAGACAGAGGAAGGCAGATCTGTGTGACTTTGAGGCCAGCCTGGTCTACATAGTGAGTTCCAGGACCTGTGGTTTGCCAAGCAGTGCAAGATGTTGTGCCCCTCTGACACTCGGTGCAGAGTCAACCTGGCACCTCGGTTTTGGGTAGTTATGAGAGGTGTTAAGTAATTTAGTTTATATTCTGAATGGGAGTAACTTCAGATTCAACCCAGAGAAAGCCAGGTGTCTGGACACAGCACATACTCCTTATACTTTACCCGTGATGGGAAGCTTGGGCTTCAGCGTATAAAGCTGAGCAGGCGTCTGATGTGGGTTCATCCCATACCGCAAGGGCATCTGGGAAATTCCTTTACTGTATTGCTTTCTGAAGTAATCTGAAATCGCTTCATCATATTGTGCAGTATGAGTAAATGCCTACAAAAAGTTACAGTTCGTGAGATACTAGGAACACTTCCCAAGGATGCTTTTAGGTACATAGCCTTATCTCCACTTCCGTGCCCTTCCCCACCCCAAACTGACCCTAAATAACACAACTAACATTTCTGCCTTTGACTCTTGACAGAATATCCCTAATATTTGATCTCTCCATGTTTAACAAAAGGACAGAAGTCCCTAGCAGATTGCAGATTGTAGAAAGCTCACATATTTAGTAGCACTGAATATGACTTCCACTGCCACACGGACTCCATGGGCATTGCTAGACAGAATTACAGAAGTGTACCCTACCTTCAAGGCCAAGTGGCGCCTGGTCTCCAGGGAGGTGTCCTTATTATCAGAGTTCTGCATCTCTGCTGCCACCGTCACATAGTCTTCTGGTTCACACACAACTGTCACTCGAGCGTGGTTTTTGGCTGCAGCTCTCAGTAAGGTCACTCCGCCTTTGAAGAACAAATGTATTATTTTTCTTCGGCATTTTGCCATCAGTCAATGAGCTCTCTAGTCACTGTGCACAATACTTCTACTTTAATTTCTGACTTAAAAAAACAAGGGGAAATAGCCCACATATGTCCCTAAAACACACAAAATATTTAGTTTATGGTTCCCTTTAATATTCTCTAAGTAGTTTATAAAATATTTTCTAAGCTGGATGTGGTGACATACCGTCAGAACCATCAGAATTTATGCACTTTGAAGACCGAGGCAGAAGGATCAGCCTGGCAATGTAGTAAATCCCTGTCTTAACATGAAACAATACCACAAATTCTCAATAAGGAAAACAAAAACAAAACCTCAGAAAATTTCATCACTACCCCTGTCAGTTCTGAGATTTTTATTCAACTCACCAATATCAATCTGCTCAACAGCTGCCTCAACAGTCACATCTGGAGAAGCCACGGTCTTCACAAAGGGGTACAGGTTACAGGCAACAACTCTGACAACCAAGGAGAAGTAGCTGTCATTGTCAAATTCTTTTCTTAAAGAATGACTTTATGTTTACAAGGGTTTTCCCGCAAGTGTGCATGCACTCATACGTGCAGTGTCCTTGGAGGGCAAACAAACACAAACAAGAGCTAGCCTCAAACTGATTTGAGGGACCATGTGGGTGCTGGAACCCTAACCTGGGTCCTCTACAAGAACAGCAAGTGCTCTTAACCACTGAGCCACCTGTCCAGCCCCAACACTTTGGAATTGTTAGAAGTTACATAGGAAAGTGGTCTGGAGGCATTACACTAGCAGAGCACAGATGGAGTCAGCACACACTCTGGACAAGCCACACATCCTCCTCCCCAGAACATCCTGCAAGCCTGATGCTTGCCTGGCCTTAGGTAACCATGACTTTAAACCATTCAATTTTTAAAATTTGTTTTTTTTTTTGTTTTGTTTTGTTTTGTTTTGCTGGGAGTGATAATAATCCCAACAGTCAGAAGATAACAGAGTTTGAGGTCAACCTGGGCTACATGGCTAAGGCTAAACTCCCACCTCAAAACAAAATATTTTAAGGAGAAATAGAAACTGTAAGATTATAGAAAAATCTCATTTTATTAAGCCTTGGTGGCACATGCCTTTAATCCCAGCACTTGGGAGGCAGAGGCAGGCTGATTTGTGTGTCAGACGAGCATGCTCTACAAATCAATTTCTAAGACAGCCAGGACTCTTACACAGAAAGCCCTTATCTCAAAAAAAAAAAAAAAAAAAAAAAAAAAAAAAAAAAAGAAAAAGAAAAATCTCATTTAGACTGTGATTTTTTACCCAAGACATTCACATTTATACTTTTTTCCCAAAGGATTGTGTTCGTGATGGAAACCATTTTGCCTTCAAAGGATAAAATACTTGTTTTGCCTTCAAGGAAGTCGTAAGTGCGGTATAACATGAAGGCCAGAGACACACTGTGGTCCACTCCAGGACTGCTGAATGAGCCCGGCTGGTTAAAACCAGTACAACAGGAGGAGGACTTTCCAGTTCACTAGATCAGGCCTGCCATCCAATCCAGATCCCATCACAAGAAAACTACCAGGCTCCTGCTCCTAATGAATGCTGACACAAAAGCTAACCTGTCAGGTCAACACAAAAAGTGTGAAGAATGACACACCATGGCCAAGAGGACAGCATGCCAGCAAGGCAGGGTTAGCTTAGCACCTAAAAATTAACTAGGGGCCGGTAAGATGGTTCAGTGGATTAGGGTGCTTGCGGCCAAGAATGATGACTGAGTTTGATACCTAGAGCCCACATCTTGGAAGGAGATACAACTCTTGTGGGTTATCCTCAGACTGCCACAAGCCACTAAGGTATGTGTGTCCCACAAATAATTAAGATCTTTAAAAAGGAAATTAATGTAAAGTTAAGAGAAGGCAAAAGCCACAAGATTACTCCAATGTAAGAAAAGTGTAAAATATTCAGTATCTATCCATAATTAAAAAAAAAAGACATCAATAAATTGAGGATTGTAGAAGTACCTCAACGTGGTAAAATGTAATAAAAACCTAACATCGTAGCTATTGATTATCTTAGAGCCAATATTTTCCTCTTAAGATTCAGAAATAAGAATATTCACTCTCAACCATTTCTATTCAGTATGTTGCCATGTTTTAGCCAAAGAAATGTTTAAAGAGCATTAAAGGGTTGGGTTCAAGTGAGGTGATATTCATACACAGAGAAAAACCCTAAGCTGCTAAGAAAACCTACCAGCCTTAATAAATGAGTCTAGCAAGGCTGCAGGGCTTATGATCAATACACAGAAATCAATTGTAATAATACACGTTAGCAAACAACAATCGGAACAGGAAATTAAGAAAACAATGCAGTAATGACAACACTAAAGCAAATCAAATACTGAAGAACAAAATTACAAAAGTGCCAGACTGACACGCTGAAAAATACAAAACAATGTTAAAAGGAACTAAAGAAAATTAATGTTTCTCAAAAAGGAAGAAATCTCACATTCACGAGCTAGAAGACTTTTTGCTGCATCAGACAACAATCCCCTCATTTATCCACACACACCCTATATAAAAGGACCCCTGCCTTTCCTACAAGTGTTGCACAGCAATCCTAAACACAAGTGAGGAGGCAAGGGTCCCTGAACAGCTCAAATAGCGGAAGAACCCATGCTGTCTACTTATTCTGTCTAAATACAAACAAGCAAAACCCTAGAACCACAAAATCATAAGAAAAAAAAAAACCAAAAACAAAAAACCTTCATCAACATAATGAGGTGTCTTAGGTCTGACAGCAAAAGCATAAGCTACAAACAGCATCCAACCAAAAACCTGTGGCGGTCAAATGACACCACTGAGCAAGAAACAAGCCACAGGACAGGAGAGGGAGAATCGTGAGCATCGGTAACGAAGTTAAGGCTGAACACTGCCAGGTACAGGGTGTGTATAGATGTGGATGGGAGACAAGAATGTTCTAACAACGAATATGGTGGTTTCACAACTTCTTTTGAATATACTTAAGACCGTCAAGCTGCATCTTTTTAATAAGCTGAGTTGTATAATGAGCAAACAGCACCTCAATAAAGCTACTGTGGATGTTTAAAGAAAACATTAACTTCGTTGGTTTTATGCAGCGAAATTTAAATCTTAACTTTTGAAAAACAAAAGGGGCTAAAGGCTTAATTCAGTGGTGGGATGTTTGTTTGCTCCAAATGCGCGATAACAACAACGCAAAGGGTATTTTCAACTAAAATTACATGGCTTGGAAACATCAACTTGGCAGAATTAAAATGCTCACACATGTCATCACATAGGAGATGCAGGAAAGGGTTTATATAGTGAGGCCAGGAGACAACAGTTTAACACCACTTATCTTTGGTCTTTAACGCACTCAAAATTCAGCTCCCAACTTTTTACCTTATAAGGTTGAAATCAAGTCTGGCCATGTCAGCATTATCTTCTGGAATATTTCGCGCCAAGATTCCTAATGTGATTAAAGTGGAGATATATAATAAGGTCAGAAATGCAGATAGGCTGGGAAGTGGTGGCACATGCCTTTAATCCCAGCACTTTTGGGAGGCAGAGACAGGCAGATCTCGGTTAAGTTCAAGGCTAGCCTGGCTCCAAAGCTACACAGAGAAACCCTGTTGCTACAAACAAACAAAAGAAACAGATAGTTTGTACTGTATGATCCCATCAGCAACAAGGTAAACCTTCCAGTATTCTTATTTTTTTCCTGAGACAGGGTCTCACTCTATAGACAAGGCAAGCCTCAAACTTGCCTCTACCCCCCAAGTGCTGGGATGAAAGGTGTGTACCACTACACCAAATAGAGTTCCTAACATTATTGCAGAGGCTCCTGGGTTCAAATGGCCTTCCCATCAGCCTTTTAAATATTAGAATTATAGGCCTGTGCAAATGTACAAACACCTAATATTCTTAAAGAACATTGAAAACAGTTGAAAGAGTTCTGAGACAAAAAAGAGTTTTAACAATAAACATAGTAGTATAGGCCTGTACTCTATCTAAGCACCCAGGTCAAAGCAGGGGGATAACAGGTTTGATAGCAAGCCTGAGCTACACAGCAAGACCGTATTTCATTGAAATAACAAACCAAACGACAGAACACCTTTTCCCTCAAAAGGTAAGTCTTACCAGGCCTGGTGGCCCATGCCTGTGATTCCAGCATTGAGATAAGAGCTCCAGACCAGTTTTTAGGCAAGTCTTGCCTGAAAGTGAGATTGTCTCAAAAATCAAAACAAATCTGACGCCTTTTTCTTATACAAAACACAACCCCACACCCAGAAAACTGGGGAAGTTATTTTTACACAACCTGTCAGTCTTTCAAGCTAGATTCGTAGCATGAAACTGTTTCCCTTTCTTTCCCTGTTTTTTCTTTTCGATGTATTTATTTTTTGTGCATGATTGTTTGGCCTGTATTATCTGTATGTGCATCACCCATCTCTAGTATCCAAAGAAGTCAAAAGAAAGAACTGGATCCCCTGACAAAGGAGTTACATGGGGTCTTAAGCTGCCATGTTGGTGCCAGGAACCGAACTTGGGTCCCTTGCAAGATCAGCTAGTGATCTTAAGTGCTGAGACTAGGCCTTCCTTCCAGTGCTACCTTTCTGGCCTTCTTTTACAAGCTTGACTGTAGCTTGCAAGGCAGAAATACATTTCCTGCTGCTATTATTGTTTAGAGGGTTTTCTGTGCTAGCAGACAAGTGAACAAAAGTCATTCTTTTAGGAGTCAGTTACAGTGTAACACTGAACTACAGAAATGTACAATCAGATTGTAACATGGAAACACTGTAATCCAGATCAGCTAAACTATTATTAGGTCAAGATCAACAGCAACAGAGGACAACAACCTGAACTTGTCCTGTCATGAGGCCAGTTAATACTCAAAAGGGATTATAATGGACTAAAAAAATCAGAACGCAAAGTGACAAAACCAACCCAGCAGAAGCACACTTTATAAAACTTAACTAAGATATGTGCTATAAACCGAATTGACAATCACTTACCAGCGTGGACAGCAGGATGCAAGGTTTTCACACGCCCCCCTAACATTTCGGGAAAACCTGTTAGCTCAGACACATCTCTGAAAATAGAGTTATAAAGACTTTAGTAAATTGTCATTTCCCACTACTCAAATCATCTCCCACCAAGTCTACTAGATTCAGTTCAACAGATTTATTTTTCAAGTCCAACTTACAAGTATATCAAACCTTTACATTTCTTTTCACTATGCTGGACTTGCAAAATTTATTTTACCAAAAAAAAAAAAAAAAGTTGTTTTCTGAATGAAATGTTTTTGAGAATCAATTAGGTGATAAAACAGTGACTTTATAATTTCTAGAGGCATGTCATTATCTTTAATCAAGAAATAAATTCAGCCAGGCAGTAGTGGCGCACGCCTTTAATCCCAGCACTATGTAAGCAGAGGCATGTGGATCTCTGTGAGTTCAAGGCCAAGCTGGTCTACACAGCTAGTTCCAGGACAGAGCCAGGGCTGTAACACAGAGAAATCCCATCTCAAAAAAACAAAAGAGAAAAATAAAAAACAAGAAACTGAGAATCATTTATGGAGAATTTAACATCAATAGCAAAAAAAAAAAAAAAAAAAAAAAAAACAGATAATAAAGGCTGGGAATATTACTCTGTTGTGTAGCATTTGTCATTTGTCTTGGCTATGTGGGATCCTGGATTCAATTCTCAGTACTATGCGCAGGGGGTAGAGAATTTAGTGGCTAATGGGATGAAAGATCTTCGCTGGGCTTGGCCACACACACTTGAAATCCCAGTCCTCAGGAGGCTAAAGTCATGGATTCTGGACTTCTAGGTCAGTTGGGGATACATTGTGAGAAGTCTAAACTGAAGTTTCTGGTATGATCTCATTGGTTTGCTGCACAAGACAATAGTCAACTTCCCAGGAGAAAATCTTGACCTCTTAACTGCAGCATGGCCTTGGACAAGCTACCTCTTTGTGCCTGTGTTTCAAACATGCAGTTATCCAATATGGACCATCAAGAAAAGATGGTAAAACAACTATGTGAACTAATAATGGAACAAGCCTCCATTTGTGAACTTGACTAAGCCAGGTTCTAAGTAAGTAAGCCACTTAGATCTCACACACACACACACACACACACACACACACTTACTCACTCTGCAGGAAACACACTTTCGTTCTCAATTTGTAGAAGATATCTACAATCCAACACTCACTCAAGGAGGCTGAAGCAGGAGGATCACAAGTTCAAGGCCCTAAATTAAAGTTTGGTTCTAAATTTAAAGTTTCTAAGTTAAGCTGGGCAGTGGTGGTGCAAGCCTTTAATCCCAGCACTCCAGAGGCAGAGACACTATCTACAGCCTGGCCTACAGGGCAGTTCCAAGATAGGATCCAAGAACCTACAAAGAAACCCTGCCTCAGAGAAAAAAAAAAAAAAAAAAAAAAAAAAAGAAAAAAGCTTCCGGAAGAAAAAAATTAAAAGATGAGCTAGGGATACAGCCCAGTAGCTGACTGGGCAAGACACTGGGCCAACCCTCAATACTACCAAAAGAAGAATCAAAAAGCTACTGGCATAATGGGGGTAAGCAGGGATTGGGCAGTGGAAATATGAATGACCATCTTAAAAACATTTAAACCAGGTGATACACGATGTAAGAACGCCTTTTACTTTGTTTGAAATGTAACAGCAACAATGGTGGACACCAAGTTGGAACACAGGGCTCAACTGCACCTCACCGAAGCCTGTCTGCTGTCGTGGATACTCCTGATTCTTGTGAGAATTACAAGAGATGCCATACTAAGTAAGGACAACTCTTGTCAATCAATCATTCCCACCGCCCAGTCAGGTGATGAGCAGCTTGTGAGGGAGCCAGTGACTTGTACTTTCATAGGGTTATAAGAAGCTAACAGAAGAGGCAGAGATGTACATCTTCATGTTAAAGACAGGCCTTGGAAACTGAGAACCTGTGTTTGTTGTGCATAACAAATGTCCCGCCTTTCTGTTTGTTATGTTATGACCTGGAGTTTCCTCTTCCACAAATGAGCAGAGTCCTACGGCCTCACAGCGTGACTGTGAGTAGGTTATTTTTCTCACAGTGCCTGGATTACATCTCTTCCGGGTTAATGTGGTCACACCATTTTCCTCCATAGACTTACCTTTAACATTACCCACTCACTGCCTTACCTGACTGCCAGGCCAGCATCCCTGAGCGCTTTTGCCGTGCCTCCGGAAGCGACTAGACTCAAACCAAGAGATGCGAGGTTCCTGGCAAATTCCACTAGGCCAGTTTTGTCAGACACACTGAACAGGGCTGAAACAGAAGGCATTTTCTCATTATTCGCGGGCTTTTGCAAAGCGTTCTCCCGGATCTGGGGAGGGGACATGCGACTGCAGGCCCAGCACTGGGACACACAGTCTGCAGGCCCGGCTCGGGCCTTCCCCAGCTCGGCCACGGGCGGGTGGCGAGGCTGGGGCAGGCAGGACCCGGCCACGATCCGCGAGGGCCTCACCGAGCTGGCCGGGAGCCATGGCTGCAGCGCAGGGTCGTGGAGTAAGAAGACGAGCAAGCCACGTGCGTACGCAGGGAATCCGGACTCCACGGTTCAGGAAGCGGTGGGCGGGGCGTGCTGACCCCCACGTAACCGGAGGCCCCGCCCCACCCCGGCCCGCGAAACTGCAGCCTGGAGCGGGAGGCGCCGCTGGGCGGGGCTGCAGCTGATTCTGACCCGGGAATTTGCAGCCGCGGGCTTCCGGCTCACAACTCAGATCTGGGCGTGGACGCCAGAGGTTCGCGGTTTTTCTGGGGGTGCGGCTGAGGCCAGAGCACCGATTCGGGAAAAGTCAGAATTTGTGCAACCTTCTACCACGCTCCTTTCTTTTACAGGTTTGGGGAACAAGCGTGAGACTTACAGAAGTCATTGACTCCACAGTACAGTTGAGAGCCCAAAAGAAATGAAACTGACCATCACTTGAGGTTTTCATAACATATTATAAAATGGCCTGGAGTCTACATCAAGATCACCCACCATCTTGGAAAAATGTAGAATAATTTTTTCCTTCAAGCTCAGGTGAGAAGAGTGGTAATAATTACAAGGTTGCAGCAAGACTATCAAAAACAGGAATAGCAAAGTTGAACACGTAAGCTTCTTTTGTCACAAAAAATGGCCATTTCTGGGCAGGAGAGAGATGCCTTCCCCCACCTACCCACCTACCCATCAACACCTGGGGTGGTGGGAGAATTGGCCCTGAGGTCATGAGGGCAGGAGAGCCACCCCTGCCTACCACCAGTGGCAACACTCTGGAGAGCAGGCCCTGCACCTCACTTGAGCAACACAATACAGCCAATCCTGTTGGTAGAGGTGTGGGTGAGCCAGCCTTGAAGTTGTTAGCATAGGAGAGCTGTTCCCATTACTCATTTGTCATGTGGTGTCATGGATGGGGAGAGATTCCCCTCCCCTGCCATCAAGGCTTGAGGGTGGGAAAGCTGGTCCTGAGGGCATAAGAGAGGAAGATCTAGCTGCTGGTGGTGGCACACGCCTTTAATCCTAGCGCTGGAGAGGCACAGGCAGGCAGATCTCTGAGTTTGAGGCCAGCCTGGTTTACAGAATGAGTTACAGGACAGGCTCCAAAGCTACACAGAGAAGCCCTATCTCAACAAACAACCCCGAGAGTTGGGAGAGCTAGCCCTGTCCCTCATCTGCTGCAGCACTCAGGAGAGTGGCCTCTACCCCACGCCTGGACAACACAGTAGAACAGGTCCTGAAGGTGTAGGTGTGGAAAATCCAATCCTGACAACATGAGAGCAGGAGTACAGGAGAGCTCCCCCTGATGGTGAGGACAAGAGAGACCTGGCAGGCTGAGCAACCCTGCAACTAACTACCCAGGTCCAGAACCAAGGCTATGGGTTGGCCCACCCCAACCCATCTTCAGTCTGCTGGAGTTTGCGAAGGAACCAGTCCTGAAGATCCAAAGCTGCAGGATCCCCACAACGCAGAGCAACCGCAGGATAACCAAGAGTAGTTCCAGTGAGGGATAGCATCGCAGTGTAGCAGAAACCAGAGGCCTTGAACCAGAACAATGACTGCAATAAACACTTGCAAGTAAAGATAAATGGACAAAAGGGTTTACTGCCTGACTCACTGTGTCACACTACAGTTTCTATGATGAGATTTTACCCCTTGTTTGTTTTAAATTTTATTGGGGGGAGCTCCAAGGACAGAGTGCAGATACACAGGGGAGGGAAATAAAGGGGATCAAGATGCATGTTGTGAAAGACACAAAGAATAAATAAAAAGGAAGTTTTTTTTAAGTCGTTGAAATTTTTTTCTTTTTTTTTTTATTTAATTTTATATAACAAAGTCCAATTAAATGAAAACAAACATTTATACACAATATTTGGGAATTTGGGCGTCGTTCTTTCCAAACTACTTCCTGCTGGTAAGGGGCGCTGTCTTGGGGGATTCGAAGAAGATTCAGATATCCTGGCTGTAGTCTGTAGGGCTGTTTTGTCCAGCTGTTTTGAATGTAGGATCAGCTTGTACTCTGTTTCAGGAGGTCTGGCGTGATCAAACCACATTAGTCTGGAAGGAATCCACAGCTTTTCATTTTCTGTGGAAACAAAAATAGAAATCCTTTTCCCCAGTAACTTGTCCTTCAACTTAAATTTTGGAGTCAAAGCATTTTTTAATTTAATTTATTATTTTACATGTCGATCCCAGTTTCCACTCCCTCCCTCCCTCCACCCAGCCCTCCCTCCCTCCTTCCCTCCCTTTTACCCTCTCTGCCCTCTCACATGCACTCTAAACACCCTCCCCTCCCATCCCCCCACCCCAATTCCATATGTAGGGGAATGCCATCCAGTTGGGGTCATGTAGATCTGACAGGTCCTGTGAAGTAGGGACTAGGGCTTCTCTCCTGTCTCTAGATTAAGGCAGTTATCCCTCCATGGGGGGATATGTTTGCAAAGTCAAAAAGGAAGTTTTTTAAAAATGCCAATTCTTTGAATCTTTACATCTGACCTAACTTTTATATTACCTCTTGGAATATCACATTAATAGACCTCTTGTAGCCTTCACTAGCCCTAAGGCTCAAAATAACAAGGTAACATCTGAAACCATCCTTCTTTCCTACAGCCAGCCTAGACAATACCCACAAAAACTATGGCCTTCTTTGTTTCTCTGAGAGCAAAGGGTCATTCAAGATGTCTTGAATTTGAGCTTCCAAGTCAGCATCACTCATGTTTAGAATAAACACTTTCTTATTCCTTTAATGCAGAGTTGTTATTTTATCTCACTACCTTTCCTATTCTAAACCAAAGATTTGAAGCCATGGAAAAAGAAGGAGTCTGTGTGAGAGCTGGGGGAAGTGGCTAAGTGGTAGAATGCTTCCTTAGCAAGTGCAAAGCATTGGGTTCAACACACACCACAACAGAAATGAGACAATGAATGAATGAATGAATGAATGAGGAAAAAATAAATAGTCCATGAAAAACCAAATCAGAGGTAAAGAATAGGAGGACACAGAGATCTATGGGATGAAATCTATCCTTTCTACCTTGGTCATATGACTATATAATGAGGCAGGTAACCTGTACATTATTACATACCTATGCAAACATGAAAGTATAGTCTGAGTATATGTATATTTTGTAAGAAATCAATGTGAGTAGTTGTGCAAATTATTTGAGTTTCTAAAGGTTGATTTTGAAGTACAGATAACTGATAGACACAGTTTAAAATCATATGGGAGGGTATTTTAGGGTTTCTGTTGCTGCCACAAAACACCATGATCAAAAAGCAAGTTAGGAAAGAAAGGGTTTATTTGGTTTATACTTCCACATTGTAGATCGTCACTGTAGGAAGCTAAAATAGGAATTAAAATACAACAGAAACCTGGAGGGAAGAGCTGATGCAGAGGGCATGGAGGAGTGCTGCTTACTGGCTTGCTCCAGATGGCTTACTTAGCCTTCTTTCTTATAGAACCCAGCACCACCCACCCAGGGGCGGGACCACCCACAATGGCCTGGGCCCTCCCCTATTGACCACTAATTTAGGAAGTGCTCTACAGACTGACCCACAGCCCAGTGTTATGGAGACATTTTCTCAATTGAGGTCCTCTCCTCTCAGAGCACTATAGTTTGTATCAAGATGACATAAATCTAGCCAGCACAAAGGGTGTTGAGATTATGAATGCAAATTAGCAATGGAAGAAAGAAGCTAAAGGTAAACAAATTTGGAAAGTTAATGACACTGAAGGCCTAGAAGTCGATAAGCCTAGAAGAAGATAAGAGTACTTCATTAGGTTTAGCAAACAGACTGAGCAAGAAGGCAGTCCAAAAGCAGAAAATGTGTTCAAACAAGTATTTAATGCTCTGTACGTGTGGATGCAGTCAGTAGAATTCAAGCCTCAGAATTCAAACCATATGTTCATGATGATATTAAAACAAGTGCTTCTCTTATAAGTGTTTATTGATGATGCTGAACATTTACTTGTAGATTCATATATGCATATATACAAAGTGTTAGGTATCATGGCACATACTTGTAATCCCAGCACTTGGTGGGAAAGGGGGAAGGAGACTGTGAAGCCTGAGGCCAGCCTGGGCAACATAGTGAGATGTAAAATAAATTAAAAAAACAAACAAGCAAATAAATAAACAAGCAAAACCAAGTGCCAAACAAACAAAAATAATCTCTTCTGAGAGTCGTTAATGATCTGCATGAGAAATGTCACCCATAGTCTATGGCATTTGAATGCTTCATCTTTAGTTGGTGGCACTGTTTGGGGAGGCTTAGGAGGCGTGGACTTGTTGGAGTAAATAAAGCACTGGGTGTGGGCTTTGGGAGTGAAGGACCAGCACCATTTGTACTTCACTCTACTTGTCCTCTGCAGTTCAAGATGTGAGCTCTTAGCTTCTTGCACCTGCCACTGTGAACGCTTATCCCTCTGGAACCATAAGTCCAAATAAAGTCTTTCTTGTCTAAGTTGCCTTGGTTATGTTGTTTTATCACAGCAACAGAAAGGTAATCAACACCAGGATCTACTCTGTGGCAGTGGCGAAAGGCAATGGTTAAGGGAGAAATTTCTTATCTCAAAGAGTTGTTAGTCTTGACCTATAATAAATACTGACCTACCTGCACGATACATGGGTGCAAGCAATAATGGCACAAAGTTGTGGGAGTAACCAACCACTGTTTGATTGGAAATTAAAGACCACTTCATGGAACACATGCCTGACAAATGCCTGGGTGGCCACAAACATGAGATTAGATAGGGCATAGACCTAGGGGAAAATCAAATACTGCTCCTCTAAGTGAATGTAACAGTAAAATGATTCCTAACAACATTCTGCCATACATATATCTTTCTCAGCCATCATCAGAGAAGCTTCCTCCTGCAGTAGATGGGAACAAATATAGACAACCACAGCTGGACAATGTGTAGAGACCAACAGACCTTGGTGAGGTGTCACCATCAATCTTGCCCTCAGGATTCAGGGAACTCTGGAAGAAGAGGCAGAAAGAATGTAATGGAAGAGCCAGTAAAGATGGAAGACACCAAGGAAATTAACAGGACTGAATTCATGGAGACTGTGGCAGCATGTACAGGACCTGCTGAGGTTTACTCTAGAGTGTTATAGCACTGAGTGAGTAAGTGGACACGAATCCCCATCCTTAACC